GAATACCATACAGTCCAGGTTTTGAATCCTGTCTGATGCTTTCCAGTTTATAAAAATGTAGAAAGTATCTGAGAAATACACACACACACACACACACACACACACACACACACACACACGGTATAATCTTTTAACACCTGAAAAGTACAGATGGATACTAGTCCAGACATGACCTTACCTCTTGCCAATCTGCAGCAGTCCTTAACTGTTGCACTACATTAGGCCACACAGCTAGGGAATAGCAGAGCTGAGATCTGGATCTAAGCAGCCTAGCCACAGGGTTCATGCTCTTTACCACTGTGCTGTCAACATTTGCTTCTGACGTTGGGCAAATCCATCCTATGAAGGTAGAGAGGCAAATATATTAACAGTTTGGAATATAAAGGTGATGTACAGGGAAGAGGAAAACCAAAAAAGATGATCCCCTTCTATGCCAAGTTAAGAAGCATGGATTTTGGATCTTAAAGGCAGTGGGGGAAAACCATTGAGAGCTTTTAAGCATAAGTATATGATTGGACTTGAATACATACAATTTCACAATGGTGTGTTTTGCTCCTTGAAGTTTCTTTAGAACATTAACATAATTTTCATTTTCATTCCAGCAGTTGAGCCCTCTCTATCTCATGCACTTATTTTACTTTTTTTTCTGAGAAAACTACTTACAATTCATTTTTTATCTACTGAACAAAAATTAAGAACACATTAGTTAATACAAGAAACTGCTTCAAAGAATGTCTGAAAATAACGTTACTACAGATTCAAAGGGATCTGCTTGCCTGTGCACATCCAAGCCAAACAAAACACGAGCAGGAGTTTGTAGCCAAGAAAGTAAAGGTTTACGTAAGGAGTTGGCGCCAAGTCCGGAGACACAGGTGAGCTGGTGCTCACAAAAGCCTGGCTCCCTGATGGCGTCTAGTGGTACATTACATAAGGGAAAAATAATCATGGTTGCTATGGGAACTGGGGCTGGAGGCTCTACTGATTGGTCTGGACTAAGGTAGGGAGCAGTTGATCATGGCTTCAGGTCCTGATGTCAATCATAGCACTGTTCGGTCACGTTTCCAAGGGATGTGGTTTGTGGGACTGTTCTGCTCTCAGGAGTCCGGAGCTGAAACATAACTGAGGCCAAGGTGTTAACTTTGTTGTATTAAACCCTTACTCATTGTTTGAGGTCTAGTTATTATTATATCCTAGTCATGGCTGATAGACCTGAAGCTTTATTCTTAAGTGAGTTTGACACTGACCAGAACCCAATGTCCTAACGGCTTAATGATTAAAAGGAGCGAACATACAGTATAAGTTTAGGTAGGAGGATCTGGGGAAAGAATGCAAGTGAGTTATATTTTTACCAGAATAAACAAAGCGAGCTTGGATTAAAGCAGAATGCATGCTAAGGAAATGAAGTTCAGGTAGGGTTACAATAATAAGCTTACAAGAAAGGTAAATTAAGGGATGATGATTTGCATTATAAAATACTTAAATTTACAGATTTATGGGGGCCGGCCGAATGGCGTGTTGGTTAAGAGCTGGCTTGGGACACCAGCTCTGTGCAGCAGGGCCCCGGTTCAGATCCCACATGAGGACCAGTGACACTGCCCTCTACAGCTAAGATGGTGAACAACAGCTTAACCGGGAGCTGGGATGCCATGAGTCACTGGCAATGGCATAGGCTGCAAGCCCCTGCTGCAGTGGGCTGCCATAAGCTACAGTGTGTGGCCGGCAGCCAGCATGAGAGGCCAGAAGCTGGTGTGAGCTGCCAAGAGCCGCTGTGAGCGGCCGTCCAGAGGCCAGCGACCGATCTGCCTCACCCTGGAAGAGCGCAATGATAATACCAACATGGGCCAGTGAGGCGACGTCCTCCACAACTAGATTGACGAACCAAAGAACAGCAACTTGTCTGCTCCCTTCCCTGATTCCCCAACACTGTTCTCCTCTCCCAATTCCCCAATAAAATCTTTAAAAAAAAATTTACAGATTTATGTAAAATTTTAAATTTATGTCTTTCAAATCCACTAGAAAAAAATTATTTGTCTGAAGGAATTTGTTTCCATATATTAAAGGACCATTGTATGAAACGACATGCATATTTTTTCTTACTGACTCAAATGACCTAGTTAAAAACTCCTATTACTAGTTAAACCGGTCAAATGACATTTGAAAAACAAATTTTCAAATACTCTCATTATCAACCTGCAGGAATACTCCACCAACTATGAAGTCAGAACGTTCTATATTTCATATATAAAGAGAGATGATGCTAATGCATCATAGTTTAGTAGGAGAATTTACAGTCTTACTAACTCTGACACATTGCATTCATTTGATGGAAAGGGATAGCTATATATATTATATATATATTTACATACATGTTTTACATATATGTATATATATACATATATATTTACATACATGTTTTATATATATGTATATATAGTACAACATAAACTGGAATCAGACCTTTTATTTAAATCTTTGAATTCAGTTTTCCCAATTTTTTTTTTTTTTTAATCTGAGCCATCCTGCCACCTGTTGGCAGCTGAGCTCGGGCCAGGAATTGAACCAGCGACCCTGTTGCTCAGAGCTCACACTCTTGAGTGAGCTCTTAACCAACTGAGCTACTTGGTCAGCCCAATTCTCCCAATTTTGAAAGTATGGAAGTTAAGCTCTATAAGATTACACAAAGAAAAGTTTCCAGAACATGTATACCTGCCACAAATTGCTCTTCAAAGCAAGGAGGAACTATTCTTACTAGTTCAGAAAAATTCAGATGTTATTTTAAAAGTAGGCTTTTACACAGATTAAAATTAAAATGGCTTTGTGGAACCAGAGGAGAAATCTGTTTGGAAGAACTTTTCTGTAATTTGTTTAAGTTAAAGATATTCATGTTTTACTTAAAAAGTACAAAATGAAGTCACAGAGTCATCGAAAAACTGTACGGTATGTTTTGAGGCTGATTAGTACAGAGTAATGAGGTTGATTTCCCCCCCTGAGATTTAGAGTCACACAGAGTATAAGACGTAAAATGTGTGTTTTTTCTGCAACCTAGAGCAGCAGCATGAGACCAGTCAAGAAAAGTGAGACATACGACCACTGTTAGACAACGTCGCTGATGTTGTTTTCCATTTCATGAGCCCTCTGGAAGGGCGAACGTGGAAAAGCAGACCCAATTGTGAATGTTATCTTTTTCAAATTATGAAAGCTACACAAAAGCTCTTATATGCTGCATGCATTAGGACTAGTAATGGGATTTCAGTTCTAATACCTGAATTTCCCTTCTATCCAAATTCTTAAAATGTGTTGAAAATACAGAACTTTATTGTTAATTTTTCCTTATACAATTGAATAGTTTAACTTATTGATTTTGATTAAAATTATAATATTTATAGGGAGAAAAAGATTCAGAGTTAAAAGAATACCATGAGGGCCAGCCAAGTGGTGCATTAGTTAAGAGCTGGCTTGGGACACCAGCTCTGAGCAGCAGGGCCCCGGTTCGGATCCCACATGGGGGCCTGTGACACTGCCCTCTACAGCTAAGATGGTGAACAACAGCTCGACCTGGAGCAGGGCTGCCATGAGTCGCCAGCGACAGCATAGGCTGCAGCCCCTGCTGCAGTGGGCTGCCATAAGCTACCCTGTGTGGCTGGCAGCCAGCGTGAGCGACTGGCAGCCAGTGTGAGCTGCCAAGAGCCGCCGTGAGTGGCCATCCAGAGTCTAGCGACTGATCTGCCTCACCCGGGAAGAGCGCAATGATAATACCAACATGGGCCAGTGAAGCAACGTCCTCCACAGCTAGACTGAAGAACAAAACGACAGCAACTTGTCTGTTCCTCTTCCCCCGATTCCCCAGTGCTGTTCCCTTCCCCCAATTCCCCAATAAAATCTTAAAAAAAAAAAAAAAGAATACCATGAAAGTGCTTTTATGGACAGACTTTAAACTGGACTGTGATTGGTCATTGCTTTCGTGTACTTGCTAAGGAAGCTAAGGTCTTATTTATTTACCTTGTTTGCTTTGGCTTGGTTCAAAACTGAGCCATATTCCCAAAACTTGATCAGCCCTTAAATAAAGTGTTTATTGAATTTCCACTGGGTCCTTCCATTCTAAGTACACAGATGGTCCTGGAGAAATCAGACTTCGCTCATGTCAAGGAGTTGGTCAAAAGACTTTGAGAGAATGTATGTGCTATGCCAATCTGCCATTGCAACTTGAATAAACTTAGAATAATGCCTAACCTTCATTTATTATTTATAATGGGGCCAGAAGCTTTGCATGAATTATCTCATGTAAAGCTTAAGACAGTTCCAAGTATCATAAACAATCCTAATTCACGGAAAAGGGCACTTAGGCTTAGGTAAGTAATGAAACTAGTCTAAGGCCAAATGGATACACGCCTGTATGTTTGCATCTGCTGAGTAATCTCAGGGGTTTCTGGAACTCCAGTATCAGAAAGATCCTGAAAAATGCAGACTTGGATGATGGAGAAGAAGGGAAAGTGTGCTAAGATCAGGTCCCAGATCCTTGACCTTGACCTGATCACACTTCGTGGTTGATGGCTATTGGCAGGTTCTCAGAACAGGAGAGGAGAGAGCACTGAGAGATGAAAGAAATGGGAACGCTGTCAGGCAAGAGTAAAAGGAGTAGGGGACCTCGAGAGGATACCCCTTTGCTGTCCACACACATGCCAGGCACTGCCTTGGAAAAGCAACAAGCCCTGCCAGAGACCCTCTTGGGCCCCTCGAATGCTAGGCGAATTCCTTATCCAGGACCTTGGGGGAAGCGGACACCCGAGCCCCCTGAAAGATAAAGGGCTGACCAAGGGGCTAAGGTGGCAAGCGCTCTCCAACAAAGCTCCCTGGAACTCGCCAGACCCAGAAAAAGACCCAGTCGGTTCCCCTCCCAGCCTCAGGGTGCCGTGGGCGCCCAGCGCAGGAGACCCAAGGACGTCACTGACGCCGGGTCGAGCCTCCAGCCCGCCCCCCGCGCGCCTTCTTTCCCCTCCCTTCCCAGTGACGCGGCGCCGCGGCCCGGGCAGCGCTCACTGACACGCTCACTCGCGCTCCAGACGCCGGGTCTTCAACATGGCGGCTCTGAAACTCCTCTCCTCCTGGCAAAGGTTCTGCGCCTCCGCCCGGGGCTCCGGGGGCTCTTGGTCAAAGGTAAAGTGCGGGTGAGGAGGTCTCCGGAAGAGCGCAGACGACACCCCGAGTGCTGCCCGCGTGCTCTCCTCTGCAGGCACCGCCCTCTCCTGCCTGGGAGTTGGCATCCGTGGCACCTTACCCCGGGCACTGAGATGCGCCGGTGCCTTCCTCGCTTCGCTGCTCCTTCGGGTTCACCGCCGTGGCTTGGTTCTGCATCCGCTTCCCGGACGGAGCGAGACGAGGCCAAGACGCGCTGAGAGGCTGAGAAGGGGCGAGAGCCCGGCGCCCTTCTGAGCTCGCGCGTCCTCGCGGGCGGGGTCGGGGTGCATCGCCGCCTCGCGGGCAGCCTCCGGGGATGGGGCTCCGGCGGCCGGAATGGGGCGTGAGAGGCGCGCCGGATTAAGGAGGGGGAACGGGTGACAGCAGCAGGGGTTTGCACCCAGCAAGGGCGCCCCTAGAGGCCCAGAACCCACCGCCGAGTTAGCCAGATCGCGGCGCGACTTCACCGCCAAGGGGGCGGATGCTTGGCGCGGCGGGTGGAAGGCCGTGCCCCACTTCCTCCTCCCCTATATGGCTGTTTCGCCCGCGGCTATGGGATAAGGAACCTGAATTGGAGCGCTGGCCTGGGCGTCTTTCCTGCAAGCGGAGAAGTCGGTCAAGGTCTGGCCGTGGCTCGTGCGTTGTCTTTGGGCGTCGGCCTCCCTTCTCCCGAGGCCCCTCAGAAGATCCGGGTTATAGGATTTCCGTTTTTCAAAGCCCACTGAAAATCTTGTTCCGCCTTTACTGCCAGCTCTCCCGAGTGGTGTCACGAGGCACTCTCGTCGCGCTTGTTGGTTGATGTGGGGTTTTTTTGCCCCATCCCCTGCCCTTGCCTGGAGCCCACGCTCAGGTGGCATTGCAGTGCGTAGTCCAGGAGGGTGGCTTACCTTCGCTACCTTGTAACCCCTGGAGCCTCTTTCTTGGAAGGGAAAACAAAAAGTGATGTTTTTACTTAGAATATTGAATAATAGCTCTGAGCTTGAAAGCATGCCTTGCACACGGTGCTTACTGACAGAACTGTCCTGCCCCATTTCTCTTTCCCACATCCAACATCTGAGAGCAGTTAAGTGCAGAGGGGCCACTAAGCCCCTTAGGTAAGTGCTAGGGAATGATTGGGAACTGGAACATTTTACTCCTAAATGCTTCTTAGGAAGCATTTGACTATTGCATTTAGCTTTGGGTATGTAAAGCATTATTAAAAGGGAACTCGACCTTCAGTCAGGTTGCTGCGCGTGCTGAAACTAAGGCAAACCAGGACACGGAGATACCCTTGGCCAAGGTCAATAACATTCCCTCTTTTGATAGTTATTTGCCTGAGTGTGATTTACTCATTTTTCCACCTTTAGGTATATCATTGAACCATTCCCAAGCCCAGCAAACCTCTTCATAGAGAGGGGAGCTCCAAATTATGGGTTTTGCTGTATTTCTTTGAAAGTTCCTGTTGAGATTCAAACTCTCACCTTACAGGTTTGATTATCATAGCTCCAAACCCTGCTTTCCAGTGTTTCTTTAGCCCTTGGCAGTTAGTGCCCTTACTGCAGTCTAGCCCTTAAATTCTGACCTCCTACTTCAGTTAAACTGTAACATTTGTGTACTTGCTAACTTTTTAAATGTATACATTGTCTTCTTAACCAGGTGAAAGTTTCTTGTTGGCAGGCACCATATTGTATGACTATTCTCCATCTCTCTCAACATTACACCCTACTCTGCATAGAATAGACACTCAACACATGTTTAATACATGGATGAGAAAACCTTATAGGCAAACTTAACTAGTAACCTTGAGAATTTTTTTGCTAAACATAACCAACAGATAAAATGAGACAGGATGTTTTTTGTCTTTTTTTTTTTTTTTTTGGTGATAGTCAAGTTTCTCAAACTTGAGGGTGCATCAGAATTACCTGGGACTTTATCAAACAGATCACTGTGTCCACCCCCAGAGTTTATGATTTAGTAGGTTCTGGGTGGGACCCCCTAATTTGCATTAATAAAGTTCCCAGGTGATGTTAATACTGCTGCTCTGAAGACTACACTTTCAGAACCATTGGCATGAACTTAGAATAGACTATCTGAAGGTATCTTCCTTCCTCCATACGATTTTGGAGGGAACATTTAGTACTGTTTTACACTATAGAAAATTATTACTGGGGGGGGGGAACACTACCATTAACACTTTTATCTACCTCTCTTCTTTGAAACTGTCTTTTCCCAGACTTTCTCAAATCCCAGACTTTCCTGAGCTGCAGTATAACTTACTTAGTCTACTCCACTTGGATTTCACTGAGCAGCTCAAGCTCTTTCTGACTCAGAATGAACCAGCCATAAAATGGCTTTTCCATCCCTGTTTTGTTTTGTTTTCATTATTGTTAACAGCACCAGTATCCATCCAGTGTATAAACTTGGAACCATTCTCTCCTCTCCTCCTTTCTCTACCTCCAGTTGATCACCAGTGTCATGTGTAATAATTTTGTAATTATGTGGTGATTACTATCCTTGCTACTTTGTGAGTTTCATCAGAGCAGGGACTATGCCTGTGTGGTTTTCTTTGTTTTAACCCTGCATCCTCATTATTTACTGCATTTGATACAAAATATATATTTTGGAGCAAATGGATGGATGAATGAAACAAGGAGCCCCCCCCCCCCACGTTTGTGATTCAGGCTTTCATATGAGCGTTGTGACATCTCTCTGTTTCAAAAGCTTTGCTGTTCCTTCTTCATTGAAGGATGAAGTTGAAATTCTTTAATGTGGTCTTTTAAGGCCTCGTCCAACCTGCCTCAGTGTCCATCTCCTGCCTGTTCTTCATGAACATCTGTTCATGGGACCTGATCTTGCATGTTCCTGAATACAATGAGCCTCTAACCTCTCTATACCTTTACTTAGGCAGCTCCCCCTTTCTATCTTTGCCTCCAGTGTTATCCCTTGTTTGGGCTGCGTGCCAGGGTACATACACTGCTCTCCTTACCTGACTTTGACCAAGGTTGAAATTTAAAGGGACAAAAGTCATCTGTGTAACCTCTACCTCTGCAAATCTCATTTGACTTTCAGTATAGTTCCCTTAAATAGGCTTTTATACTATTTGACACTTTTTATAAAAGGAGTTTTTAGAGGACAAAAAGAGTGATAGAAACTCATTTATGCTGTTACCTTGACGCCATCAGGATGTCTGTCTTAGGAGACTGATAGGCATTGGGTGTAAGCGTACAACATTATGGACCTGTTAAGGTGGCAGCATATCATGAGTCAGCTGTCATTCTCTCAACTCCCTCGTTTTAGCTTGAATATATGGTGAGAATAAAAGAGAGATTACATGTATTACATATAACATATATAATAATAAAGAGATGTTGGATGTGAGTGATAAATTGCATTACAATCAACTTTCTAATTTTTTTCTTGTCCATATTGTGGATGAAATTTAAAGAGGGAAACAATTAAAAACTGATTGTGAAAGCTCACTAGATAACAGTAATTCTAGCCATGTCTCTCTTGCAGATAATAGTTTGCTACTTTTCAACAGCATCCATGAAATCCAAGCCCCAGCATCAGTCTTTTGATGCTGTTCTTGTCCCTTTAGGAGGCATTCTCTGTTACCCAATATTGCATCGGGAGCCAAATATGTAGAATTTGTAGTATTGGTCATGCTGTCCTAGATTTCCTCAAGAGCCGTCCGTGGTCATGTCTTAATACTTATTAGATTGGAATAAATAGCAAAGTAGTTGGCACATAGTAGATTCTCATAAATATATGTTGACTGAGTAGAAGGTTAACTTACAGAAATTGATGCTCGATGACACCATTATTGGGAATTTGAGTCCTAGTATATGGTCTTTCTACTTTTAGGTGGCCACAAATGTCACCGAATTTTCCCTTATGTAATAGAAGACCTAGATCATAAGGGGATTCTGGTGATAATCTGTGGATAGAGTATGTCCATTCCACTCTTAAGATGAACTAATTACAGTCCCACTCTTTCAAAGAGGACATAGTGAAATTATCCTTGTATCCATAAAAATTGAATAAACTGCTATATATGTAAAGATGTATCTCCAAATGATTATTCATTTAAAATGTTTTTAATGTTTTAGGGATGTGTTTGCTACTTTTCAACCAGCACGCGTCGCCATACCAAATTTTATACGGATCCAGTGGAAGCTGTAAAAGACATCCCTGATGGTGCAAAGATCCTGGTTGGTGGTGAGTAATAGTATTGTTTTCCTTTTTATGGTAACACCATTATGTTTTTAGCAAAGCAGGGAAATCATAGTAGCAAAGCTATGTAGGTTAGAAATACCAATTATTTTATTACTTGGTTATTATTTATTATTTTATTTATTATATATATTATATTCTCTTTTATTAGGGTCCCCTTTCTGAAAGTTTAGTAAGGTTTAACATTTTATATTTTTACCTTTTCATTCCTTTTGTGTTTTTTTATTATTTTGAAAAGCTGAACCTTCAAATGGTGACTTTTTATTAGTAGTTAAAAAACAATCCCTAGATTTTTTTGGGGGAATTCCATTTAACTTTAAACATTTGCATTGATCTCATCCACCCACAACTAACATCTCCTTTTGTTATGCAGCATTTTATAAGATAGCACATAAGCATCTATCTGTTACTGAGCTTCCCAAGTTCTATTGTTTCTGTTTGCTTGGAATATCTTTAAGAACCACTGTTTCACATTCATTAAATTTGCTGCCTGATTCTTATAATTTCTTTGGGTTTCTAGGCCTTGGTCACAGGGATCAAGGCTTATTTTTAGGGCTGCCCATCCTTCCTTCCCTCCCTTCCTTCCTTCCTTCCTTCCTTTCTTCCTTTCTTCCTTCCTTCCTTCCTTCCTTCCTTCTTTCCGTCCTTCTTTCATTCCATCCTTGTTCTTCCTCTAACTGATCAGCCATTGAGTGTCCATTTTAAACCCAATACTATTTGAGGAATTGTGGAACATGTAAAGAAATGAAAGTCATTGGCCTAGACTTCCAATTCTGCAGCATATACTCAGGCATATAAAACAAACAGGCTTGAAAAAGTGACTGTATAAGAGTTAAATTATAAAGTGGGACAGTAATAGATATGTAGTTAAGTGCAAGAACATGGGTAGCCATATTAACACATTGCACTTGGCTTTATAGTTATGAATCAAGGACACGACAGTAGTATCTGGTGCTATATATTGTTGCAAAACATTTGGATACAGCTGTATGACCATTTAATGAGTTGTTGAGATATATCTGTGTGTTTTGCTTAATAAGTCTAATAATGTGTTTTGTGTATTTTCTTTTTTATTAAAAAGAGTAACACATATTTCCCTGAAAAAAAATTACTCTCTATCATTTGGTTATCTTTTTGGCTTATTGTAGGTTTTGGGTTATGTGGAATTCCAGAGAATCTTATAGGAGCTTTACTAAAGACTGGTGTAAAAGGGTTAACTGCAGTCAGCAACAATGCAGGGTAAGTGCATTTTTAACACAAGTGGTTTGAAAGAAATATCAGTTTTCCATAATATTTAACCAACGTCTATCAATGAAATGAAAAATTTCTCCATTTACATAAGCTATGCTCGTACATCAAAAGATAGTATTTAACAAGCTCAGGAGTGGTAGTTACATTTATTCAAAAATTTTTGGCACTGTCCTTCGTAATCCTAAGTAAAGGAGACTTGCATAACTTTATATCTTAATCTGATGTGCTTTTATTTTTCTAAACTTCACATATATTATTAAAGTAAAAATATATATTTTTAAATTGAATTCTGCATTTTAAAATTTAGAGATGTTCCTTTATGTTGTATATTATAGATCATTATTTATAAAGAAAGGTGGGCATCAATTTGAACTATATTTTGAGTCCTTCCTTTTGGCTATGCCATTACTCCTAGATGATATATAAGGAATACCATTAATCATTAAAAATGTTGCTACTCTTGAGGGCCAGCTGAGTGGCTCAGTTGGTTAAGTGTTGGCTTAAGAGTGCGAGCTCTGAGCAACAGGGCCGCCGGTTCAATTCCCACATGGGCCCGAGCTGAGCTGTCGCTGAGCTGCCAACAGATGGCAGGATGGCTCAGCTGGTGTAACAACAAGATTGCCTGTTCAATGATGGGCTATGCCCACCCGCAACTAAGACTGAACTCAGCACCTTGGCTGAGCTGCTGCCCAGATGGCTCAGTGGATTGAACGTGCGCTCTTAACAACAAGGCTGCTGGTTCTACTCCCACATGGGATGGTGGCTACACCCACCCACAACTAAGATTGAACACAGCACCTTAAGCTTAGAGGCCACGAGCTGCCACTAGGCAGCCAGATGGTGACTGGCGCCCTCCACAACAAAGATTAAAGAACAAATGTGGCTGGTACCCCTCCCCAATTCTGCAACGCTGTTCCCCTCCCCCAATTCCACAATAGAAGTCTTAAAAAAAAAATGTTGCTACTCTTGATAGAAGGTGGCTATGCAGCCAGCACTTAACACAGTAGGATCGTATATCAAAATTGTCAACAATGATCCATAACATTTTAATAATGAATGGCATGCACATTAAGATATATTTAGTTATGAAAGAAAAAGCTATTTTTATACAAAATGTTAGATCATCAGCTTTCTTTCAATAATAAAAGACTTTAAAGATCTTATCAAAATTCTTAAAGTTAACTAAATTGGCAGTTTAACCTATGCAACTTAGAATAAATAGTATGGATTATTTAGGAAACAAAAATGATCCTACATTTGTGCTCATTTTTCCTTTGCTGAGTTTATTTATGCTATTATTTTCATCTGGAAGGTTCTCCCACCTCTTTTCTGCATATCCATATCTTTCCCATCTTTCAGAATTTGACTGGTTACATATCCTCAAAGAAGCCTTATCTAAGTACAGAACTTCCTAGCCTTTACTGATCTTGCCCCTTCCTGAATTCTTTTGGAGACTTTTATTTAATTTGTGTACTGAATTGTATTTATTCTGTCCGATATGTGTTACAGGCCACTTGTTACTTACAGTAGTTTTCTATTTTCTACTGTGCTTATCCTGAGTCTCAGAGTCACTGAATGCTAGAGCTGGAGGGGATTGTAGAGATCATCTGTTCCAGTTCCTCCATTTAAAAGAGGAAAGACATCTGTAAATAGAGAAGTAGCTTATTCACAGTCCCTTGATATTTCTTAAACACATCCAGTGCCCTTTGAGCTGATTTTATATTTATTTAAAATGCTGTTGATTATCAGTACTTTGCTGGGTTTTTCAGATAGCTCAGTGCTTACAAGGGATGGTGTAGATCAGGGATCAGCAAACTTTTGAGAAGGAAGAGCCGCCAGGGGTCAGCAAACTGTGGCTCACGAGCGTATGGCTCTGAAGTAAAATTGAAAATGAAAATAAAATTACCATAGTTTCATTTATAGAATTTTAGAAGATATTATTCACATNAGGAGTTTTATGGTTTCAGGTCTTATGTTTAAGTCTTTAATCCATTTTGAATTTGTTCTTGTATATGGTATACGGAGGTGGTTCAGTTTAATTTTTTTTTTTGCATGTGTCAGTCCAATTTTCCCAGCACTATTTATTAAATAGGCTATCTTTAACCCAATGTAAATTCTTCCATTATCATGGACTAACTGCCCGTATATGCATGGATTTATTTCTGGGCTCTCTATTCTGTTCCATTGATCTATGTGCCTGTTCTTATGCAAGTACCATACTGTTTTGATTACTGTAGCCTTGTAGTATGTTTTGATGTCTGGTAGCATGATACCCCCAACTTTGTTCTTATTTTTCAGGGTTGCCGTGGCTATTCGGGGTCTTTCATGGCTCCATATAAATTTTAGGATTATATTTTCTATTTCTGTGAAAAATGCCCTTGGTAGTTTGATAGAAATTGCATTGAATCTATACATTGCTTTAGGCAGTATGGACATTTTAACTATGTTAATTCTTCCTATGCATGAGCATGGTAGGTGTTTCCATTTATTTGTATTTTTTTTATTTCTTTCTTCAGTGTCTTATAATTTTCCAAGTACAGGTCTTTTACTTCTTTGGTTAAATTTATTCCTAAGTATTTTATAGTTTTTGAAGCCATTGTAAATGGGACTGTTTTTTTAATTTCTCCTTCCGCTAGTTTATTATTGGTATTTACAAATGCAACTGATTTATGAATATTAATTTTGTATCCTGCTACCTTCCTGAATTTGTCTATCAGTTCCAATAGTTATTTTATGGAGTCTTTGGGGTTCTCTCTATGTAGTATCATGTCATCGGCATATAATGACAATTTTACTTCCTCCTTACCAATTTGGATGCCTTTTACTTATTTTTCTTGTCTGATTGCTGTGGCCAAAACTTCCAGAACTATGTTGAATAAAAGTAGAGAAAGTGGACAGCCTTGTCTTGTTTCTGATCTTAAGGGGAATGGTTTTAGCTTTTCCCTATTGAGTATGATGTTAGCTGTGGGGTTATCATATATGGCCTTTATTATGTTGAGATATGATCCCTCTATTTCCACTTTGCTAAGAGTTTTTTATGATAAATGGCTGTTGTATTTTGTCAAATGCTTTTTCTGCATCTATTGATATGACCATATGATTTTTATTTTNCTTTAATTTTTGGAAGACTTTAACATATGAATTACAGGCCTGTGTGAACCAAAGTTTCACAACAAACTGTATATTAACCAGTTAAATCCCAGAGCCAAGGAAAGAATAGGTGTGTTATATTAGTCATGCTCATTTGCTCGTGACAAGATTATTTTAGACTGCAGTTCTTGAAGATGGGGATTTAGATAACTCCAAGGGCAACCCACTTACATGTGTAAGACTCATACATAGTATCTGGTAATGGATATGTACCTGTGCTTATGATGACAATATTATTGCTTGTATATAGTTCTGTCCTAGTCAGGTGTAAGAATTCTGTGAGGGCCCAATGAGCAGTTGCACACTCCAAATAAAATTTCTGGTTCTGCACCAGTGATTTTGAACCAGGAGATAAAGGCAAGTGTGTTCTTTGCTCTGCCCTGTTTCTTCTTTGTTGAGATGGCTACATCTCTGAAGGACCCTGAAGGGCTTAATGGAGAGATCTAGGTCACCTTGGCTGATTACAAGCATCCTCCCAAGTTTGGTTATTTTGTCTGGGAAGGGCTAACCACTTTCTGGAGTGTGTACTTGAACATGTTTGCTCAGCTCATGGAAGATTTCACTTGTCCCGTATAACTATGTCATAAATTGACCTTATGTCTAAATACAGCATTGTCTTTTTAATATTCTTGATATTATCAGAGTAAATATGAGGTGTGATAAAAAAAATACAGTGAATGTTTAAATTAAAAAAATTTAATACAGTGAAAGACACATTGCCATTAATGCCCTTCAAAATACTCCCCCTCGCTTTAAACACACTTATCGCATCTTTCTTGCCACTTTCGGAAGCAGTTCTGAAAGTCCTCTTTCATGAGTGTCTTTAGTTGTGCTATCGTGGCTGCCTCAGTGTCCTGAATCGATTCAAAACGTTTACCTTTCATGGTCATTTTGACTTTGGGGAAAAGCCAGAAGTCGTACGGTGCCAATTCCAGTGAATAAGGTGGATGAGGACACACAGTAATGGTTTTTTTTTTTTTTCCTTAGTTGTGGTCTTTTATTTGATTACTTTAAAAAATCATAGATCTTAATCAGTTTCTTTCTTATTATACAAACACACAATATGTCTGTTACAAAAATATCAGGAAGTACAAACAAGCAAAAATTAAGAAAACAAACAAGCAAAAAGAACAACTTAAATTTGCCCTGGGGATCACTGCTGGTTAGTTAGACCAGCACATTCACAAATATTTCCTCACTTAGCTGTCTCTACTATAGAGTATGAAAAAAGTAAATCTTGTCCAGCCTTCCTTGCAGCTTAGGTCATCATGTGACAAAGTTCTAGTCAATGAGACCTACACAGAAAACAAACAGATAAACAAAAAACTCCTATGGGAGTTTCTAGGGAAACTCTGGATTCTCTTATCTTCCTCCCTTGATTTGCATCTCCAGCAGCTATCTTGGGACCATGGGGCAGTAAGCATGAAGATGAAAGCCACTATGTTAAGGATGACAGAGTGAACACCTGGGCATCATTGAGCAACTGAACCAATGCCAGCAACCTCCCACCTCTAGACTTCTTATCAAGTGAGAAAATAACTGCCTATTTATTTAAGCCACTGCTAACTGCATTTTCTGTTGTATACAGTATTCCTAACTTATACCAGCCACCTGAAAAAAAAAACATCATACCAGTGTACTTAAGTGTTCTAAGTATTCTAAGGGCTTTTGCTTATTTTTTATTTTATTTATTTATTATTATTATTATTATTATTATTATTATTATTATTATTATTAGTTTCAGGTGTACAAAACAATGCAGTAGTTATCCTTTTCACCCCTCAC